TAAAGTGTTTTTGAGTGTGCAGAGATAGTATGGCAGACCAAACACAGATTCCTTTGCAAATCCCAAGTGTGGAGGTGATTCTCTTATTTGACTTTTCTCTTTAACATTTAGTGTAGTTTCTTTTTCTTTTACAAAACCAAAAAAAAATATTCGTTGTTGATAGTGCATATTGTTGTGTAGAGATAGCATGATTATTTTTATGATCGCTTAGGATTTTGTTAGGTGATTTTCTTATTAACTCTGTTTTTGTTTTGTTGTAGGAATTAATTATTTGTTACAACCAGAATCTCGTTAAAGTAATTATGTTGTTGCTTGAGAGTTAAGATTTGGATCCCCACCGTGACAGAGTATTAATGAGAATTGATCGAGGACGAGGATGGCGCCATACAATGCAAATGATAAATGGCCATGATCAAGAATGCTATGAAACTCTACGAATGCATCAAGAAACTTTTCGACTATTATGTGATAAGTTGAGGAGTGACTATGGACTACGAGAATCTCGAGAATGTGGTCTAGAAGAGACTGTTGCAATGTTTCTTGAAACGGTTGCGCATGATGAAGTCCAACGAACAATCGCAACACATTATCAACGCAATCAAGAGACAGTGAATATAAAGTTTCATGAAGTTATTATAAAGCCTGGAGAAAATGAAATTCGACAAGTAAGCACCACTCTCTCTTCTGATACAAGGTATTATCCTTTCTGCAGTGGTTGCATAAGAGCTTTTGATGGTACACATGTGTCAGTGCGAGTTGGATCTGAAAAAAAAGAAAAGTATTGGAATTTACGGAAGCAACATCCTACCATGAACGTGCTTGCGATATGTAACTTCAGAATGGAGTTTATATATACATATGTGGGGACACCTGGAAGAGCACATGATTCAAAGATATTGACATATTGTGCACAGAATGAGGAATATTTTCCAACTCCCCCTGAAGGAAAATATTTTCTCGCTGATTCAGGATACCCTAATAGGAGAGGATATCTTGCTCCGTACCGTCGAACTCGATATCATCCGCATCAATGGCGAGGGGGGCAACCTACAAATGAGAATGAAATGTTTAATAAACGTCATTCTTCTTTGCGTTCTGTGATTGAGCGAACTTTCGGAGTGTGGAAAGGGAAGTTTGCTATTTTCAGAAATTCACAGCGCTATAATCTTCAAACACAATGTAAGATTGTCGTTGCAACAATGGCGTTACATAAATTTATACGAAAAACAGCAAGAAATGATGAATATTTCAAGAGTATGAACAACACAGAAAACGAGATGTTTGAACTATCAGATTCTGAAGATGATGATGAAGCTCAAGGAACAAGTTATGTTCCTACAGGAGATGCATATATGGCAGGTATCCGAAACAACATTGCAAAACAAATATGGAGAGGAAGAAGATATATTTTTTTATTCATGAGTTTTAGTTTGAAATTAAATTTTTAATATTTTTTATTTTCTAATAATTTTTAATGCTAGTTCTTGTAATAATTTATATCATAAATATTTAGATTAAATAAATATTTATTTTAATAAAAACTAAAAAAAATAATTGATTTTTCAACTCTTATTCACAGCTTACATTCACAGCTCATGTTCACAGCTCACAGCTCACAGTTCCTACGTCAACTGCTTTCAGCTGCTCCTTCCTTCTCTGCTTTGCCAATCACACACTTAGTGGTATCCGTCTTCTCCGTCGATCCGCTTCCAACTCTTCTCATCTTCTTCTTAGTACTCGCACCGTTACATAAATACACAGCCTCAAATTATTATCATTAAAGTTATGATTAACTCCGTTTCTCTATTCTTCCACGATTTAACAATGAATACATCCCCTATTCTCCAGTCGGCGAATTTGCAGGTATATATAGGTTTGTTTGCATACAAAAAATTCAGTAAACAGAAACTCTCACAGAGTAGATGCTCAACTCAAAGATGACTTGAAAGCAGGTTGCTGTAGCATCTCCGTCGAATTAGGTTTCCAGGCGTTCCTTGAAAGCAGTTTTGTTCCGCTATTCATCCTTTGGAATCTCTTTTTTTGTTTTAATATGATCTCTAAGGCGTTCATGTAGTGATTCTCATGCTTTGGATTCTTTTTTCCAATCCGATCTTTGGATCTAAATCATCGGAAGTGTTGATTTTCTCTGTGTTCGGTTGTTATATCCATGGTTTAAACTTTTCTTATCTTAGAAGGTTGGTTAAGCATATTTTATCTGTTTGCAGGTTATATCAATCCATGGAAAATTCTGAGGCCCTGTGATTAAAGCTACCACAAACTACAATGTTAATGTTAACATATTTAATTGTTTGGATGAGTCTTTTGTATTCACTTGGTGATCTCTGTAAGGATGTTTTAGCTTCTTAGGTTCTTTATTTTCGTATTGCAGATTTCTAGGCTTTTTGTGGTTACTGACATTATTTTTTTTATGGTCCAATGACAATCAGTAACCAGGGTCGTATTTATATTCCTTTTGCCAATACGTTAAAGACATTTCAGTCTTCATTATACTAAGCTCGGTAAAACCAAGCTAGCTTCATTTTTTTCCATTGTAATCCACATCGGGTAGGAGTGAGTGATCATATCTTGAAAATAGTCTTTTTTTTTTCTTTTTTTTTTCTAACTGTGAAACTTTTGTAGATACATATAGCTGGAGATTGATATAAAGCTGGACTTGGTCCCTCCATATCAAAAAAAGTTCATGTCTGGGCAACGGTTTTAACTTTTTAAGAAGGTTGTTGACTGTTTGTTAGACTTCTTAAAATTAATAAATGACGTTGTTTTTGTGATGTTGTGGTGTTTCAGTTAGACGTGTACATAGAATTGGTTCTGTGGATAAATCTGATTACAGCAGAATTTAGATGATCTATTGTATTTGATCGATAAAAAGCCAGAACAGATAACAATAATAAGACATCAGCTTCTTCGGAAGAAAAAGAAGCAGATGATTTTTAACCACCCAAGTTTCATTTAGAAAGAACTAAGATAGTTTCATTTAGAAAGAACTAAGATGGCTTTAAGTGGCGAAGTTATTTCTCTGAAATAGAGTCTAGTGGAAAGATAAGAGAAGTGCATCTGCCACAGACTTACTGATCCTGACATGTTGAAAAGCAACTAAGAAGGCACGTCTTTAATAGGTTGAAGAGGATACATGCTTAAGCCAAGGTGTCGGCTCCTAAATAATGGTTAGGCATAGTTGCTGCTTTCATTTACTTCATCGGGTGTTAACTATTTTCAACGCAATAATGACAATCATATTTGGAATTCATTATCATCTTTGGCCACATGTTGGTGAACTATATGTTTGTGTTCTATTCTTACATGTCAACTTTACGACAAACTAAAACCGTTTACGATAATAGCTACTGAGACAATATGTGCTACCTAAGTTATGTATACAGCTGTCTCGAGTTTTGTGTGGCCAAAGTTTGAAACCATAGAAGGAGTCGTTAAATTCAACATAGAAATAATTAGAAAATCTTAATTTTATACATGCAACTTTTACGATTAAAGAATTAAAAACACATGTCATTAACCAGTAATACAAAATTCTTTGTCTGACAAATTTGAGGGGAAAAACCCGACGTCTTAATAAATTAGAATGACAACAAGTCACATGTCATTAACCAGTAATACACAATTTTTTGTCTGACAAATTTGAGAGAAAAGACCCGACATCTTAATAAATTAGAACGACAACAAGCCAAGCTCGGCACACACATGAAACCTTACTATCATGAACTGCCACAATTATTTGAACATAAATCTGTTGAACAGACGTGACCCACAAGTTCCAATTGACACCACCCAAACATTTTAATAAAGAGCCAACAGTCATCATCCTATCGCCCCCTGTCAAACGCTCATAAATAATTGTTTTGATCAACAACCAACTTAGAGAAAATAATGATATGATCATTGTTAATATTGGTTATATATTATAGATGGTGCAAATACATCAAAATAGATGTGGGACGAAGTGGAACAAAAAAAATCAAAAGATAAATTTCTAACACCCGTGAAATTTATGAATTCAATGGTTCTAAAACAAAAAAAAAATATTTGTACATTTAACAATATTTTACATAAAAACTTATACAAGTGAGATAAACGAATATTTAGATCACGGGTATTTGTTAGGTTATAGCACATAAATATTGCTGTAAAGAATTTAGTTTGTAGCTTTATCGATAAAGTTGTAAGTTTTTTAGCTCTAGAAAAATATTATAACTTTTAAGCCATTAATTAAAAAAATATGAACAGAAAACAGGACTGTTGATTTAATGTGGAGAGGAGTCAACTAAATCTTTAAAAAAATTAATTAGAAAGAAAAGTTAAAAGCATTTTAAGTGAATTTAAACATTTCTCCAATCTAACCAGTCTAATTAAAGTTTAACTAATTTTCTGTTCATTTTGCTCATCACTTTATATATAATGTTTAATAACAAAAATATTAAAAGTTCAATTTTGTAGGATAAAATAAATGAATAATTTAAAATAAAAGTTTAAATTGTTTAGAAACATATAATATTTATATGCTAAAATGTATATACAAAATTTATAATCAAGATTAAAACTTAACAAAATCCCGGGAGTAGCCCGGGTTAACCCTAGTAGTAGAATAAAGAAGAGAATATTAGTGATTTAGTGTAGGTTTAATAGAAAGATGTATTTAATTTAAAAATTTACAAAATAAATGTTAGATATACACACCCTAAATATTTCTTAATATTTCTTGATTAAGTATGTATTTACAAGAGGCAATTGGTTTCAGGCTCTGATCCGAAGAGTAACTAACCCAGATGAAAGCCCGTTTTCTGTAAAAATGAGCCCATTACGAAAGCAAGATTAAAAACGACAGCGGTTAAGGTAGACGTTCTCTGAGCCGTCAGATGATATGCGACCAATGATCACTGACCGTTGGATAAATCCAACTAGAATCCGATGCGACCAGGAAGTAAAAGTGGCTTCAGTCTTTATTTATTCTCTCCGAGTCTCTCTCTTTCTCTCTCAATTCTGCAATCGCGGCGAATCTCTCTCAGGACTTGATCAAAGGAAGATGTCTGCTACTCAGGAAGAAGACAAGAAGCCCGGAGAACAAGGAGGAGTTCACATCAATCTCAAAGTCAAGGGCCAGGTTTTCCTCACTGTTTTTCTTTTAGGGTTTTTTGGTTTCTCTCGAAATTCATTGTTGTGGATGTAGCTTCGGCCTCTTATCTGTAACATGTTGAGAATTTTAATAGGCACGATGTGTCTAAAGGAATCATTTTTAAAAGTTTCTGGTTAGTTCATCGATTGATAAAGTTGTATGCTTGAGTATGAGTTGTTTACCCAGGCAGAGATTCTGGTGTAAGCGTGGCTTTAAATCGAAATTTTATAAACAATATAGAGATTTTTTCTTTGAGAGTTGTGAGTAGTGTTTTTTCATAAATTGTAGCAATCAAGAACTTGTTGATACATACCAAACTTATTTGATGGAGATAGTGCTTATCTGTAACATGAATTATCATATTTTTGGTTTGGTGTAGTCTGCAGTGCTGTGTTTATTCAAATTATATGTTTGCAAGTCTTATGAAAGCGTTTGGTCTGTACTGTTGTAATAATTTTTGTAATAATTTTAACGCAAACTTTACTGTTGTAATAATTTTTTTTCTTGTTTGCGTATCTATTGTTAGACATTTTCTCAAATTAAAGTACATGATTTTCGAAGATGAAAACTTTACTGTGATGATTGAAGTAAGGATCATTAATCTTTTTTTTTTTCTAATTTCTGTTCTTGATTTGGTGATACATAGGATGGAAATGAAGTCTTTTTTAAGATCAAGAGGAGCACTCAGCTGAAGAAGCTGATGAACGCATACTGCGACCGTCAATCTGTGGATATGAACGCAATTGCTTTCTTGTTTGATGGGCGTCGTCTCCGTGCTGAACAGACTCCAGATGAGGTCTAATCACCACACTCTATCTCCAGCTTTTTTCCTTTCTTCGAATTTTATCATTGCCTAATCCCTGAATCTTACACTTTTACAGCTTGATATGGAAGATGGAGATGAGATCGATGCAATGCTCCATCAGACTGGTGGTGTTGCAAGTGGCATGTATCTGTTCTTCTTTTAGTGGCTCTTCTATGGTTTTCTATAAGACGGTGTGATATATATTAATGGAGAATTTTCAATAAGACGATGGTGATATTATTATTATTAAGACACTACAATATTAGTCGAATGGGCTTTGCTTTATTGATTTTCTATTGATTTAAAGTAGTAGCAGCTTAAACTAAAAAGCTACTTTCGCCGAGTTTGGTAGTTGAATCATCTTGCCCGGCATGTTTGCTTGGTGCCCGGTCATGTTGATGTTCTTATCCCTAACAATCCAAACTTTCTATATGTAGCACTTCACTGTTTCAGTACGACCCTGGCAAGAAGTTTCACAATATATTCAGAGATTTACTAGTTCAATTCAGAAGTGAGTAAAGTAAGGTGACAAGCTTGAGAGAGAAAGCTTTGTTCTTGAGCCCTCAAGGTCGATATCTATATAGAGGTTATACTAAACCACATTTGGGGGGTTTGTCAAAGACAATCTCATTTACTACATCGTTGGTACACTAAGATTTGGGGCGTTGAACTGAGCCTTTTTAATGGAGGGTAAGCAAATGAAGAAGCTTTACCATGCAAGATTGTGTAATTGTCTGCTTTGGGTCACACCTGGAGGTGTTCTTCAAAGATGGGTTTCTAGTTTCGTATTGCATAGTAAAGGGTCTATATTATAATAAAAAAGTTTTGTTTTTTGTGTTTATACATTGCACTTGTCATAACAGAATCCTCGAGGATTGTTTTACAACCAAAATAAAGTTATGAGCTTTTTAGCATATATCTTCTTCTCAATACATAGTTTCACTAATCAAATAGAACGGCAACTTTTGTAGGATTTATCAACCGCACACCAAAGACGATGACTATTCACGAGCTAAAATCTATTTATCGTAAACTCGGTCATCGTAATTTATCAACCAAATCACCATTTTACCAACCAAATCGTGGACTGAAAGAGAACCAAATCTCCCACTTACAAATCTTGAAACACACAATAAGTAACCAAACAGATGGATCTGAGATTTGACAAAACGAGAGTAAACATACACAAGGATCCAGTGTACACAAATTTCACTGATAACGAAATTTCTTGATCGCGTCTAGACTACTTATGACTTCCCTCGCAATTGCAAATGGAACTTAAAAACAAAAGTGACTGTTTGAAGAGCTTTACCATCTTCTGAAACACTCAAGACATGTTTGATGAACCTGTTGCAGGGATTGAATGAGTGACAACAAGCGGAGGGCGGAGAGCTTTGTGGTTGGCTTCAGCTTCTTTGCGAGCTTTGAACATCTCCTCTGTCTCAACAACAACCATCCTTTTAACCTACTCAAAATGTAAAGACACATTTTGAAGTCAGTATATCACGCTTGAGAGAGGAACATGATGACGTTTGAAAGCATAAGAGAACCTGTTGAATCATTCCTCTAATGGAAGAAGTGTTGGAGTGCAAAACAGTGCGATGACATCTACGGAGTCCCATAGCTTCGAGTGTACGCCTGTGAAGCTTCCTGGTACCAGGGAGACCTCTCACTAAGGTTATGTACAAACTCTCGCTCCATTGAATGGGGACTTGTGCTTTGAAAGCTCTAAAACCACTCATCCTTTGTAAACCTAAAAGATACATCCACTGAAACATGAGCCAACACTACTCCAGAATCTTAAGCCATTTGGTAACACAGATTAATCAAACAACACTTTCAGAAAATCAAAGATTAAATCAAACCTAATCAGATGGATCACTTCAAAGCAATGAGAAGAGTTTGCATAAAATGAGATATGGAAGAGGCAATCGGAGACTTAGGTTCGGATCGGAATCAGAGAGGGAGAGATACCTGGAATAGTCAGAGGCGAGAGTTCCGGTGACGATTGTCAACTCAAGACGGCGAACCGAGATCGGAAAATCTTTTGAGTTCAGCGTTTGGCTAAGGGAGTAAGGGTTTTAGGCGAACGTGTACAGTGACTTTAGATCCAAAGTTGGGCTTTATCTAGGCCCATTGATTCTCCCATTTATCTAGGCCCATTTATCTAGGATCATCTTCTTTAGTTTTTTCTTAATTCTAAAAAAAAAAAGGAAATTTAATATGATAAATTAAAAAATTATGTTGCTAAAATCTGTTAGAAAAATTAACTCTGTCATTAGCAACGTTTAAAGTCTTTATGCCAATTAAATGAAAAAAAACTGAGGCATGTATATTATTACAGAAACGACAAGCTATTAAAAACTACGCTAAATTCAGTTGCCACTAAACCAAAAATAAAAATATCTAACCCTGAAACTTCGTCGGAACATCTCCAACTCGACTTCAACTTTTACTCCAAAATAGAGTAAAAGGGAATATGAAATAGAATACATTCCAACTTAACTCTATTTTCCACTTCATAATAGAATTTATTCCATAAATGGAGTAATCTATTTTTTATTTGTTCAGTACTCTATTATAGAGTGGAATATAAAGTAGGGATGAAACATTTTTACTCCATATTCACTTTTATTCCATTTTGAAAGAAAAAATGGAGTATTACATTACAGATGCTAGCCACAAGTATTATAAAGATCCCAAAATACGTATGATAGGCAATAGAGACACAGTTTGTTGTTTGTGTCATTGTGTGATAGGCAATAGAAGAGTGCCCCTTGCTCATCATTCTATGTGATAAAATAAGATTTTGGAGATTTATATTTCATATTGGACGAAGATGATAAGGTAAATTATATTTTTTGGATATATAGATAATTAAAAATTCTATAGAAAAAACACCAATAAATCAAAAACCATGTATACATTCATTGTCTAACAGTAGTACTCAATGATAATCTGCACCATTTTCGGATTAATATTTTTTATATAAATATACTTTAAAAATTATGATTTAATATATGCTTTTATTAAAATTAGTCAATTTGAAAAAAATAAACTAATGTTCTAAATTATTTAACTTTAATATTTCTGTTGACCTTCAATCTATCAAGTTCTATTTTTCCCTTTTTATTCATGGAATATATCATTTACATAGAATATAAAATTGCATTCCTTTTAGATTATATATTTAAATTATTTTATGTTTTATCATAATTTTCATATTTCTTTAATTTTTAATATTATTAATAAGTTTCATTTTATCTGCTATAGGTTATGTATTATTTTGGTTATAAATATATTATTGGGATAATGTTTATGATTTTAGAGATCAAAACATAATTTGACATTCATCATGTATAAATGAAAATTAATTTATATTAGTTAGGAATATGAATATTTCTATTCAAAATATATAAAATATTTATCTTAAGTATACAATTTATATTTTAGGATAATATATATTTTATGATTTTTTAATTTTTTAGTGCTAAATTATTTCAATGATGTTTTAACTTATTTATCACCTATGAAGTCAAAAACTAAACGCTCAATAAAACTCTTTTATCTCACAAATAGTTTATTTTAACTTAGGAGATATCTTTATTTTTTTATGTGATCCTTCGGAGGTCCAACATTCATTATCTGACCAATAACGTCTACAATATACAAAGTATAAAAATAATGATCTCAAGATCAAATAGAACATAAGTTAGCAGGATACACCAATTCAAAAGAAAAATACTATGATATATAAATTCATCAACTAAGATTTCATTTTCATACTCGCATCTAAATAATTTTTTTTTGATTTTTTGAAGTAATTATTTTCAATTATCTTGAGAAATCATCACAAATTATTTTGTAAATAATATAAAGTTCTATTTTTTTCTTAACCATCCATGTATTAAGTTCTGTTTTTTTTTATTCATCGAGTGTAAATTTGGATAAACATCATGTATTATCAACAATTTATATCTTATACACTTTTATAAAAAATATATAAAACATTACCTTTGCATTCCCTTAGATTATATTTATATTATTTTAGGTTTTTATCATAGTTTTCATGTTTCTTTATTTTTTTATATTATTTAATAAATTTCGTTTTATCTGTTATGGGTTATGTATTATTTTGATTTTACATATATTATTGTGATAATGTTTATAATTTTACACAAAAAATAATTTTATGCTCATCATGTATAAATGAAAATTAATTTATATTAGTTAGGCATATAATTATTTATATTCAAAATATTTAAAATATTTAACATAACTATACATTTTATATTTTATGATATAAAATACATTTTCTATAATTTTTGAAAAAAACATTAGTGATAAAATATATTATTTCAATGATGTTTTATATAAATTATTTTCTATGAAATCAAATAGAATATAAAACTAGACGCCTAATATAACTATTTTATCTCACAAATAGTTTATTCTAACTTAGGGAGATACTTTATTTTGCGATGAGCTCCTTCGGAGGTCCAGCATTCACTATCTGACCAATGACAACATTGTCTATAATAAACAAAATATTAGAATAAGGAGCTCAATAACATAACTTAATAGAATACACCAATTTAAAGAATACTATGATCTATAAATTCATCAACTACGACATCTTTTTCATACTGGCATCTAAACATTTTTTTGAAGGAATTATTTTCAACTATTTCGATAAATCAAATTTACAGTGATGGTTATATAGGAGTTTATTTTAAGTGGTAGTTGATTAACTATATATTATGTGCTATAGTCGATGATGATAAAGTTCTTCAAAATAAAAGAATCTGATTGGGATCATTTAGATTGAAAGTTATTTTTTTTTTTTTTTTTTTTTTGTAACACTTAGATTGAAAGTTATCAAAACACAAATAATCAAAAAAGACATAAACCCCAGAAAAGGAAATTTACAACTAATTGATTAACATCAAATTATTTTATGTTATTTAATATTTTTTTATTTTATTTCATGTTTTTTTATATTTTCAATATTTCAATAATTTCAGTTTCTCGGATAATATAGTTTCCTATTTATTTCATATTTATTATTCTGGTAATGTTTGTGATTTTGAAGATCAAAATAATTATTTAGTGTTCCTCATCTATAAATATTTAAGTTAGGAATATAATTTTTTAATATTAGAAATATATAAATATTTAACATAATTATAAATTTTATATATTATGACATATATGAATATATATTCAATGAGTAATTAATTTATCACTTATTAAATTAAGTATACTGAAACAAATGTATTATTGAAAATAACACCTCATATTGAAACTAGCGAAAATTAATAACATAAGTTGAAAATAAGATAAACCTAACTATGATGTTATTGTTAGAAATTTGGTTAAATTTCTTTTATTAATTAATTATTTTTAATTTCATGATTAATAGAAATATAAATTTGGTTAATAAGATTAAGTTTTAAACAATAGTATTACTAAAGTTAATAACTCATCTTAAAATTAGGCTGAAGATGACAAATAAACAAAATAACTTCTCAAATAGTAGTATAAAATAAATGAACTTTACCAAATTTAGTACAAATATAAAATAAAATTTTTAGTGTGATATATTAAATATAATGGGTTTATACAATTTTTATGTTTTATCTTTCAAACTTTTCAGGTCTTCTTTGGTCTTCCTCTCCTCTCCCTCTCCCAATCTGAGCTTGATGATGCTTTCCACTCATAAACCACTTGCATGGAGGAAGTGTAATCCACGAAGTATGTCTCATCTGTATTGCCTTTGTCTCATCACTAACCTCCGTTTCATTACCTTCACTATCCATGAATTCATATGTTTCCATCTCATCAGTAACATGCGTTTCCGTCTCATCACTAACCTGCGTTTCCACCTCATCACTTTTCATGGATTCATCTGTTTCCGTCTGATTAGTAACATAAGTTGGCGTCTCATCAGTAACCTACGTTTCAAATCCCATAAAATATATGTGATAAGGTAGGTGTCATAGAGGTATATGAGATTATTTTGTTACCATTACAACTTTCTTTTCTATGGTGTCTTGGGACTCCCGAACTGGTTTCAAGTGGTGTGATTGCATCATTTTTCTATTTGGAGATGATATTGAATGAGGGTCCGTAGGAAAATTTCCTTGCACCATGTCAGATCCATTATCTGGGACTCGCAAACCAGTGTCAAGTCGTATGCTTTCAGCGTTTGACTTCTTTGGAAATGATATTGAAAAAGGACCCGTACAAACATTTCTCTTCACCGTGTCACATTGTCATACTCTATTCTATGTTAATAGCATGTACATTACAAATCACACAACTGATTAGCATCCAAATTTTTCAGATCATCCCATGGACTATCATTGTCAATCATCTCATTTTGCAAGTCATTTATCTGCTCCTTCAGGTGATTTATCTCGATCTTCTGGTCCCTTATTTCATCCTTCAGCCCCTTAACCCTTCCCCTCCAACTCTCTTCTCGTCCTTCAGTCCCTTTATCTCGTCATCAGCTTTCCAAGCTCCTTCTCGAGAGATTCATTCAAGCTCTGCAGTGATATCTTCGCCCCGTGTCGGTTCCTTGCAGGGTGACGGACTGCTTCATCATGTGTCATTACCTTAGTCAGTGTATCATCATAATTTAACAACACATAAATCTTTGCATCTCTCGGAGGATTCGGTTCTCTAATGCCTCATATAAGGTGATCCCAACACTCCATGAGTTTATTTTAAAGTTTTAATTTTATACTATTTCATCTACTATATCATCAATTGTAGGATAATATATCTCTGGGAACCTTAGTGACTCCTTCCATCTGTCTCCAACTAACAAAATCTCCAAACTAACATTTAAGTGTTAGAATACTATGCTACTTGAATACATATGGGAGGAGTCACTAAGGTTACTAGAGATATTTGATTCTGGAGTTGATGATATGGCTGATGCAATAGTAGAAAATTATCATAACTTTGAAATAAACTCATGGAGTGGTGGGGTTACCTTATCTGAGGCATTAGAGAACTGAATCCTTTGAGGGATGGAATGGTTTCTTAGTTGTCATGAAATTCTGATGATACACTAAATGAGGTAACAACACATGATGAAGCGGTCCATCAATCTGCAAATAACCAACATGGGGCCAATATATCACTGCAGAACTTGAAAAAATCTCTCGAGAAGGAGCTTGGAGAGTTGAAGGGCGAGGTCAAAGGACTAAAAACGAGAATGGATCTGAAGGACGATATAAAGGGATTCGAGAACAAGATAATGGACCAGAAGGTCGAGATAGATCACGTGAAGAAGCATATAAAGAATCTGCAAAAAAAAAAGGATGAACAACAATAGTCTATGGGAAGCCTGAACAACTTGAATGTTCTTCATATGCGTGATTTGTAATGTACATGTTATTAATATATAAAAGAGTATGACTGTATGACATTGCATGGATATATTTTTACGGGTCCTCGTTCAATATCTTCTCCAAATTGGACAAACGTTTAAATCACACCACTTGAGACTGGATCAGATGTCCTAAATGATGGATCTGGCACGGTGCATGAAAACATTCTTACAGACTCTCCTTCAATACCATCTCCAAATAAGACAAACGCTGAAACCACACCACTTGAGACCAGTTCGATATCCCCCAGTGCTGGATCTGACACATTATAAATACAAGCCGTATAGGGTGACAAGGTAATCCCATATACCTCTCTGACACCTACATTATCACATATTTTTTGGATTGAAACGCATGTTACTGATGAGACGAACACATGTTACTGATGAGACGGGAACAAATGAATCCATAGATAGTGATGAAACATAAATGCATGCTATGGATGAGATGAAAATGCATGTTAATGATGAAATAACATATAAATCCATGGAGATTGAAGGGTATGAAATGCATGTTACTGATTAAATGAAACCAATAGAGAGGCGGCGTATTTTTGGATTACCAAACCCAACAAAAATGAACTGATTCTAACCTATAAATCAAAATCAACTCCGAGCTAACCCGAGGTAAAAATTAGATGAGTCCTAAACTTCTAAATCGAAAAACCCAAAACCTTATCTGAACAGAACCAAAAAGTCGAATGGGTACCCGAAATCGATCCGGAACCATAAAATATAAACAGCCTGCATTTTTAGTTTTTTACTTTTTGTTGACAAGTGCTCATTACTCATCATTTCATATGTTATGTCTTTATGATGTTTTTTTTTTGGTGAAACTATGTTACACTTTATTATGCTTTGTATTTTTCTATATACAGTGCTCTGTTTTTTTTTATGTATAATGCTCATTACTTGCCTTGAGTTGCATTGTATACTATGTTCTGTTTTTTTCTGTTGATAGAATACTATGCCTTTTCTACCATGCTATGTTTTTATGGCAAAATCATGTTACTTTAATCTATTTTGTAGGTAAAATAAAAAAATAATTGCTTTTCAAACAATAAATAATAATAAATAAAAACATAGTAATTGATTTAGTTCTAAGCTTTTATTCATCTTAAAATTTAAAAAAATTGTCTGTAGAAACTAAGGAAAGACAATGATAATGCTTGTTCTCATTCTATATTTTAGTGTTATATGTTATGTCCACACATACGGACATAACAAGTTTACAAATATTTTAAAGTACATAAATTATCAGTTCAAATACAAATAAAATTACTGTTCATACATTTAAAATATTTAATAAAAATTAAACGATAATTCTTATATTTGTTTTATGGTAGCATAATACTTTTTTATAACATAGCATAAACTTAAAAACACTAATATTTTGTAATATTTAGTAATAAATTAAATATTAATTTTTTAGGTATGTAAAAGTTTTCTTTAAATATAAAAAATTATCTTTTACCGCGTAAAACAAATTTGAAAAATTAATATATATACATAAAAATTATATACAATATATTCATAAAAATTATATACAATATATAAATATTATATACAAAATTTTCATGTATTTTTTTTTTTTAAAAAATAACGAAATAAACTATTTTTATAGAATGTGAGTTATCAAATCAATGAAATTTGCTTCTAATTTATGGTTAATTATATTTTATAAAATGACTATTTGTTAAGTTATTAAAGACTTTATAACATAATTAAATTATTTTTAGATAATAAGAATTACCAAATCAATGAAATATGTTTTAAATATATGGTTAATTATATATTAATTCAATTTTAGTTTATGGTTAATCAATATAAATTATGTTTAGATAATGATAATCATCAAATCAATAAAATTTGTTTCTAATTTATGGTTAATTATATATTAGATCATTTTTAGTTTACAGTTAATTATATAATAATAAATCTAATTATTTATTAAGGGTTGTGATTAATCATTAGTGAAAATCATAACAATATAACAAATAAGCAAAATTATCTAAAATTATGAAGAAGATGACAAATCAGCAAATTCACTTTCAAATAATATTTTAAAGTAATTGATTATGGTTACTTATATATTAATTTAATTTTAGTTTATAGTTAACTAATATAAACTAGTTTAAGATAATAGTAATCATCCAATCAATGAACTTTTTTCTAATATATAATTAATTATATATTAATTAATTTTAAATTTATTATTAACTATATATTAATAAACCTAATTAGTCATTAAAGATAGTAATTAATCACTAGTTAAAACCATAAGAGCATGACAAATAATCAAAATTATCTGAAATTATGGACAAATGACAAATCAACAAATTTATTTCTCAAATAATAGTATGGATTACAAATTTGATTGCTTGGCTTTCTTTTTAATGATGACTAGACTTTGATCCGTGCGTCCGTACGGGTGTAGTTTTTTCAAAAGGATATTGCTATTTGTTTTTCATATTATTATTATATATCATATATATCATCATATAATAAAATCGTATTTTATACGTATTATCATATAAATAATCATATAATTAATAGTATTTTATACGTACGATCATATAAATTAGTGCTAAATTTGCGGATTGACCCGTCCTACTACGTGTTGAATCATTTTTTGATTCAAAACTTTGATCCGCTTAACCTACAAGTAGAAAAAGTTATACCACCCACCTTGTTTAAATTTGTGGACAACCCATAGGATCAACATTAAAAAATAAATTATTTTTGAAACAAAGATAATATATTTTAATTAATTTCTTTTTATATTTGAACTTTTATTATTTTAAAAATAAAATTATTTAAAAATAATGTTTTTAAAAATAAATGTGCAGCTGACGGAGACCCGTAGTTTAAATTCGACCAACCCGCTTCTGCTCCGCATAAAAATACTAAAGCCGCACTCATCCCACATATTTTTCAAATTTGTTGATCCGCACCTGTACTGCAGTGGGTCAAACAGGGTGGGGCCAATGTGTAAAGAGTCAAATTCACAAACTTAATATAAATAATCATATGTATTATATTTTTAAAACTTAATGTGAATTATAAAACCACAAATAAATCAGTGTTTGAAATTGGGCTTTGTATTCTATTTTTCTTATATATATTGAAAAATCTTTTTATAATCATTATTGAAATTTATTTTAGTAAAAAACAATTTTTGTATATATGTAGATTTTAGAATCAGTTTTTGATATAAATTAATTTTAAATTTTATTTTGATTTAAATTTTAAAGTATATATTATGATTTTTTTTAAACAAAAATGTTTTACTTAATTAGATTGACTCATTTTCATATATTATAAAATAGATAGTTTTTTATAGGATTTTCAATTTTTATTAATTATATTTTTTTAATATACTGTAATCCATGTTGTCAAACAACATTGTACTCTTTTTATTTCCTGCTAATTTTATGTTTTCAATTAACTGCCAAATATATTTTAGTTTTAAGGGGAAACTGTTATTTTAGACCAAATAGATTTGGAAATTGTCCCTTTAGTCTAAATTATATTTTGTACCAATTTTGACTTTAATACCCTTTATTTATTTCTGAAATTATTAAAAAAATAGATTTATGAAGCAATTTGTTTTAAAAAAAAATAGTATATAGTGATGAAACCCCTATATCTATATAATGATATTTTTTCCTGTTTTAAAAATATGTAAATAATAAT